CTAGTTTATTTTCAGCTGTTTGTGCATTTTGGGTTATGCTTGACTGTCCCTTTATGCTATAAATTAGGGCCCTTAAATTTTTAAATTTCCTTCATTTTGAATCTTTCCCACTTAGTATGTTGGTGAACTTTGGTTTATGATACATTGATTGCTTACTCACTTGGTTTGCGCACATGATGTTCCATCTAGTGGTAACATAGGGAACTGCAAGCTCTTTATTTCCTTTTTTAACCAAAGTTTAGTCTTAGCCTGTAAAACTTGGAATGCTATTATAAGGAAACTTACTGAGAAAAGAAAATTATCAATGAATTTTAATGTATATTATAATCGACATTAGTTTTAGATCACATTTATGAAATAATATACTATTATGTGTTATATGTATAATGTGTCGTAATTTTAATTACTTTATATTGTCTTTTTGTTTTGTAACATTTGTGATGTTTCTGAATTATTTTATGTCATGGCAAAGTAAAACTGCTTGATAACAGAATGCTTGTTGTCAGTTTAGGAACTAGACTAAACCAAACTCACTGCTGTCGATTGTGACTCATAGCCACCCCTCCTTGAGATTCCAAGGCAGTATCACTATGAAAGAAGATCATCCAGTCTTCCTTCTAAGGAGTGGCTGGTGGGTTTGAACCTCCAGCCTTCTGGTTAGCAGTCAAATGCCTTAGGCACTACACAACCAGCGCTCCCAGGGACTAGACTAGAGGCTATGAAAATAGACAATAGTATTTAGCACAGTGACTCTCTGCCAAGGTTACACTTTAGAAAGTTGCCTTGGGAGCTTTACAGAAAGATGCCCTAGCCCTTGAGCGGTGGTTCTCAAACTTTAATATGCATCAGAATCACTTTGCAAGGCTTTTTAAAATTTGGGGCCCACCATCCTTTTTCTCGGATTGAGCAAGTCGCCTGAGATTTTACATTTCAAACAAGTTGCAAGGTAATGCTAATGATACTTCTCTGAGACACACTTTGAGAACCAACCACTTCCTTACAGTTCCTGATGCAGTTGGTCTAGAGTTCAGGTTGAGCATTTTTAAGCTCATTTGGGTAATTCAAATGTACAACTAGTGTTGAGAACCTCTGATTTAGATGATGAAATGGAGAGAAGCTTTGATTAGGGTTCTACAAAGTTCTGAGTTAGTTAGATTCAGAAAATCTCTTTACACCTGCTATTCATGTGGCATGGCTTCCATTAGAAGTAACAGAGAACTCTAGTCCTAGAGCAGAGGTTTGTCTGTACATAGAAATCACTTGTGTCTCAGATTCTGATGTAATTGGTCTGGAATGTGATTGAGAATTGAGAGAGCTTTAAAAAGCTCCTCAGGTGATTTTAATATATAGCTGAGGTTAAGAATTACTGCTCATTACTACTTTATATTAGCTCACAGTTCTGTAGGTAGAACACCAGCAGGGTGTGACTGAGTCCTCTGCTGAGGGCATTGCAAGGCAGAAATCAAGGTGTCAGCCGGACTGAGTTCTCTCTGGGTTTTTCTCTGTGGAAAAATCTCCATCCAAGTCCATTGTTCTTGTTTTCAGAATTTACTTTCTTGTAGTAGTAGTAGATCTTAGGTCCCTGTTTCCTTGCTGGCTTCAATGGAGGCTACTCTTCAGCTCCTAGAGGCCATCCACATTCTTCCCTACTTGGCTCCCTCCATCTTCAAGCTAGCAGCAATGTATTGAATCTTTTTTGAGGTTCATGTCTCTGAGTCCTACTTCTGTGACTTTTAAGGGTCCACCTGGATAATCAAAATATTTTAAACCCAACTTTTTTGGACCTTTAGTTGCACCAACAGAATCTCTTTGCAGTAACACATACATTAATATTTGATTTAATAACTGAGAGAAGTGTGTGTTAACCCAGGGCCTGGGAATCTTGGGAGCCATCTTAGAATGATGTGGGATGGGACCAGTTTTTTCTTTTCTGACTTCGGAGTGTATGTGTACTTACCCTTTTGTTTTCCAACGCAGTAAGTTTTGAGTATTTGAGGTAATACATTGGTTAGATTTTGAGCTATGCCTATAAACTCATTTTTAATTTTTACAATTTTAATTTCTTAAAGTCATTCATCTAAGCTCTTTCTCCGTTTCAGTTGATTGGCTTAAGTCCTTGGGGGAAGAATATATTGGGCAACTCCTTTTTCAGAAAAACAATGGGGCAATCTAGAACACCCTCCAGGGATAAAAAGATTAATGTGTATTAAACAATTATTTATCTGCCCATACATCTTTAATTTATGAACTGACACTGACTGCAGATAAACCCAAGGAGAATATCCAACTTTAAAGAAGGATGGTTAATATCATATAGAACATAGACTAGTTGAAAAGGCTATTTCTATCATCTGTTATATCTTTCTTCATTCTAGGAACATTTTTCTTAGCTTGCATTGGTTTCTATAATCAGAGTGACTTCTTGGGCCTGTTAACTCATTAAAATATAGTTTCTATTTTAGATTATTTTATACCTATTTTTTTTAACATACTTTCATAAAAGTCTATTTTCACATAGATACATTCATTTTTCCATTCTTTCTCCATATCTTAAGGTGAGTAATGATTTCAATAGGTTACATGCTTTTAAATTACATTAGAAGTTGGTCATGTGGGTTGTATTTGATAACTATTATGTTTCCTTTATTGATTCACTACTGGAGAATTGTGGATTGGAATTTGTTGTTGGGTGAAATAATGCCTTTGGAGAGAAAATTTGAGTAATTTCCAGAAAAGTACAGAATGAAAAGTGAAGGTCTGAAAAATGGAATGGGTTGTTTATTTTTCAACAACTACTTTGAGAATCTGCTAACATGTTAATGTGCTATAAAGCAACAACAACAAAAAACTCGCTGCCGTCCAGTCGATTCCAACTCATAGCGACCCCAACTTGGGTTTCCAAGGCGCTATCTCTACGGAAGAGGTCAGTAGTTTTCAAAGTATGATACCTAGACCAGCAGCATCAGCATTGCCAGGGAACTTTTAGAAATTTACATGTCGGAAACTCACCCCAGACGAGAATCAGAAACCCAGAATCAGTCTAGCAAGCCCTGCAAGTAATTTTGGTGCATGGTCAGGTTTGAGAACCATAGTGCCTCGGCAGCAGTACCTTGGCAGGTCTGCCAAGAGGTAGTTTGATTTCTCTTAGAATGTGTATAAAACTACTTTAGGGCATTTTCAACAGGTGGTGAGCTAGGTCTCTTATACTTAAGGAGTGGTAAGGAGAGAAGCCTAAATTGTAGTTCTTCTCTATTTTGATTTTACAGCTCTCTGAGGGATTGTTACTTAGAGTAGGGTTTCCTAACTTCTTGCCATTTGGGCTGGATAATTCATTGCTATGGAGGCTGTCCTGTGCATTATAAGATGCTGAGCAGCATCCCTGGTTTTCCTACTAGATACTAGTAACACCCTAAAATTGTGACAACCGAATATATCTCCAAACATTGCCAAATGTGCCCCGGAAGGCAGAATGACCTGAGGGTGAAAAATTAAAAAATCACTAACAGAGGCTATTAGAAAGGTTCTTTGCTGGAGTGCCCCAATGGCTGTGATTTTTGACTATCAATACCACTTCAAAGTAACTTTTAGAGCCTCTTATGTCTAATGTTAAGGAGCACTGGTGGCAGTGATAAAGGCATTGGGCTGCTAACCAAAAAAAAAAAAAAAGAGGTCAGTGGTTCTAACACACCAGCTGCTCTATGGGAGAAAGATGAGGCATTCTGCTTCCTTAAAGGTTTATGGCCTTGGAGACTCTATGGGGGTCACTATGAATTGGAATCAACTCAATGGCAGTGGGTTTATTTTGTTTTTGTTTTTGTCTAATGTTAGAGACAAGTAGTGTTTTCCTATGAATCAGGAAGAATCTTGATTTAAAAGATTATAGTTTACAGAAGAGAGTGCACAAATGTCCTGTCCCCTTCCCTGTCAAGGTACTTTGTAATAGGTAGTTTTGAAAGATGCCCAGAGATTGTCAGAGATTCAATCCTAGGTATACTTTATAAGCATTCTGTAATCAGTTTTAATAATGAGGAAGTATTTTCATTATTTCCTAGCATTTATAAGCAGTTTTAAGAATCTTGTCTGTTTTTAACAGAGTTTGATAATGCTTTGTTCTGAAAGTAGAAAAATAGCATCTTGTTGATCACTAGGACAACCTTTCACAGGATGGTCGTGGTGGAGTACTAATCTTTTACCACTGAAAACTTACTAAAGAACTTGTGTTCCATGTCATAGGCATACATTTTATTTTAAGAATAAACCCCTTTAGTTTCTTAGAGTAATAAAATTTGAAGCATAGGTGGGCTTGTGGTAATATATTGCTTTGGGTTGACTCTCTGAATCTGCTATGATATGAACACCAAGAAGTTTGGTAATGTGTTCATGAGCATGACTCTAATCACACCTGGGATGCCTGAGTAAGACGGCATGTTCCTACACTTACTGGATGTCACAGTTATTCTGAACATAGTCATATAGGGGAATAGGAAGCAGAACTGAAAATGCTAGACAGGCTGAACCCCAGAAGGACTGGTGAGTGGAAACACTTCTGATATAACCACAGTCCAGTGATGGATTGAGCACTGTAGGTGATGGAGAAATGAATCAGCTCTGATGGTCCCTGCCCTTAAATAACTTAATGTAGTAGGGGGAATAAAACAAGTAGACAGATTTCATTTTAAATAACTGTGGAGTTAAATACAGTAAGAAGTACAAAGAAAAACTTCACACTTGGAAGAGGGCTGGTAAAGATTTCATGGAAAAAGATGACATTTTCAAAGGTAATTTAAGGGCAGGTGTGATGTCAACCTGCTGTGAACAGACACTGACAAAAACATCCATTCTCAGTGTAGAAGATGATTAAAGAGCATGGGATCTGGAGCCAGACTGCCTGGGTTCCTGGGTTCAAATCTGCCTAAGAGCTGTGTGATCTTGGGCAAGTTATATATTCTCCTTTGAAACTCAGTTTCCCATTTTAACAATACTATTTTCTTTTCTTACAGGAAATCTAAGGATATGATCAACAAAACAGCATCTCACAGCACAAAATTTTGTGCTAAGTCTGATGACTTATCTAAAGAACTCAAATATTTTAACCAAGAAGGTACAAAATTGGTTGAAGAGTCTATGAAACAGTATGATAAACTCAATAGCAGCCTTGAAATAATATCTCAAGAGACTGAACAAAAATGTGAGGCTCTGAACACAAACACACTTTGTTTTTCTGAGCAATGGGGATCTTGCTTAAATAAAAGGCAACAGGAACTTAAGAACTTACTGGAGGTAATGACTTTGTAACTGGAACCTACTTTGGGGAGAACAGTGATAATTAGGAAATTAATTATGTTTGGCTAAGGACCAATTTTGGGAGCTCTGGTGGTGTAGTGCCTAAGGCATTTGACTGCTAACCAGAAGGCTGGTGGTTCAAACCCACCAGCCACTCCTCAGAAGGAAGGTTGGGCAATCTACTTCCGTAGCAATACTGCCTCGGAAACCTAAGGAGGGGTCGCTGTGAATCGGATCTGACTCAACAGCAGTGAGTTTGTATTTTTGTTTGAAGGACCAATTTCAAAATAAATTATATTTTAAAATATAATGAATGGTTTCAACTTTTAATTATAATACTGGGTATGCTTATATGGGGTCTTGTTTCATGCTTTGCTGTATGTCTCCTAGTTCTAGAAGTTAATTTAACATTTTTGTGATTTCTATCCTGTGCTTTTTGACTTGTTAGCTCCTTCAGGGAAGGGCACCCTGTCTTTTGGCATATAATATCTTTCACCTATATGTGCTTTTTCTCCAAAAACATTGAAACTTATTATTTCTTTACGTATTTAGAATATTGTTCTGGTTGCTCAAAGGATACTTGATATGTTTGTGGGTTTGCTTGAACTTCACACTTGCATGAGCCCTTTGTGGCTTAGTTTTTTTCTGTGCAATAAAAGGATTTTTCTAACATTCTCATGAATTTAGGTACAAAGAATTAAGTATTTTATTAAGCTTTTTAAACTGTTTTCACTAAATTGAACCAGAGCTCATGGGGAAATGACTGATTTCAGTCATGAGGCATGAAATGTATAAGATGAGCCTAGGCATCTTGTTTTGTCATAACCAGAAAGAAAGGAAACAGTTAAAACATTACTGGAGTTGCATCAAGTTGACTTAGGAGCCAACTTGAAGGCATGATGGTATGGTTTGAACATCAAAAAGAGTAATGATTATCCTAGGTTAGCACACATCAAATATGTTACAACTCATGTATTGGTTAAAAACTTCATAGGTCTCCTGTGGCGCCTGCTAGGGAAGCAAGCATTATTCTGAAAACTGGTAAATAAGGGAAAACAATTGAGCATCCATCTGTCTTTCCAGAAAAAACTATTTTGGTTTTTAGCAGGGTAATTGATGAGGAAACGTATTTTGTAGAAGAATCCAAGGTAATGAAATGCTGAAGAAATGATAAAATACCACCATTTTGTAACTCCTAATGCAGTAACCCCTATGAACATTAAAGAGTACTAAAACCATTTGATCAATAGCTGGTAGAGAACTTCATATTTAATAGGCTGATCACACATGAATCTACTGATAATCTTAACACGAGAGACGTAACCAGGTATTGTGTGCTGTCAGTACTTCCTATGAATTATTCCTGCCAAAAAATTGAACCTGAATTAGATCAAGCCTCTAGATCTAACTAGTTTATGGAAAATAACAGAGACAGAGAACAGATGAACATAGGAAAATGTGTCATGGAGATGCAATCAGCCAAATCCAGAATTTGAGGGGTTCAATAGAGCAAAAAGATGGTTTCTTCAACAACAAAACTTTTTTCCAAGGGAAAAGAAAATGAGGAGAGGTAACCTCCTCAAAAGACTTCAGACTAAGAAGACCTGAAGTCCTAGTTTGCTTGGAACACTTGTTTCCTTGAGGGTAATTATTAGGAATGGTCCCTTTCACTCTCAAAAATGTTCCAGTTTGGATGATAAATTATATTAGTCACCCACTTAAGACATATCAACCAAATCTAATAATGAATTCTGATTCAAACAAGCCAATTGTGAAAAAACACTTGGGACAACTGGCAAATTTTGAACATTGACTAGATATTTAATATGACAGAATCATTGTTAATTTTTTTAGGTATGATAGTGTCTTATGGTTATGTTTAATTAAAACATTTTTTTTATCTCTCACCAATATATGCTTAAGTAGGCTGTTGAAATTAGATTTGCTTCAAAATAATCCTAACTGGGAGGAGGAGTAAGTGGCCAGGCTTGTTTCATCTGTAACCCTATGTGTTGATCAAATTGTTGAAGCTGGGTAATAAATTCAAAGAGGTTAATTATAATATTCTCTCATTTTTGTATGTGTTTTAAAAAATACTGAAAATTTAAAGGTAAGAGAAAATGCTATATTGAATTAAATCACTGGTAACTTTAATTTTAGTAATGAAATTTCTGAAGGCTCATGCATCATTTGCAGGTTGTAAACCAAGGTTGTGAGGCTTCAACTTCAGAAATTACTGAAAAATTAAGTGGACATAAAGCAGCTCATGATAGCCATCGTAACATGTTCCTTGATCAAATAACAACTGATGAAGACATACTGATGTCACAAAGTCTACAACTTAATGAAACCACAAAAACTGGTTTGACTAAGCTTCACTGCTTTCTGCAACAGGATCTGAAACTGGATATCCCAACAGGTACTTTGAAAGGGAAATAGAATTGTTAAAATTTTCTGAAGTTGAATTCATCCCTGTACAGTGGCAGATGTTCAGAAAATCTAGGTCTTGCCATTGCTTTGTGGGAATTTACTGCCTCACTATGTTGTTGTTGTCGTGTGCCGTCAAGTCGGACCCGACTCATAGCGACCCCTCCTTGGGTTTCCGAGGCATTATCACTACGGAAGTAGATTGCCCCATCTTCTTTCCAAGGAGTGGCTGGTGGCCTCACTATAGTCAACTCAAATATAGAAAAATTAGAACCCCAAAATCGTTTTAATCATGTGTTAGATGACATAGGTGATAAGAGTACTCCTAGAAATTTGGCATCACAAGTTAGTAAAATTTCACAAACATTGGTAAAGACATTAAGAAAGAACATTTTAAAAGCAGACTATCATTGAGAGACAACATTTAAAAGCACCATTTGTAAAAGAAAAAGGACACCAAAAATGTTGGAGAATATGTCCAGTTTAATGGAGAGATGACCACATTTTGCTTTTTGTTATTTGTCCTTCTCATTTTGTCAGGGATTTTCAGATTGACATTAGGGGCTCACCATTTTGAGTGATCAGAGATGGCAAAGATCAGTGTAAGGTATGATTCAGGGATGCCTTCATGGGAAACAATGTAACAAGTTGTTTACACAGGATGCATAAGTGGATTATTTTAGTATGATTGTGGTGCTGGATGCACACACTTAAGTTTGGTCAAAATCATTGAATTACATACACACTTAAATTAGTAAATTTTGTGTTATATAAATTATACTCAAAGCTGTTCTATATTTTAAAAAATTAAAAAAGGAGATGATGTAGATGAATATTGATTCATTTTTTCCAAAGAGAACTATATGATTTATTGGTCATTTTTCAATGAAATTAAGAAACATAAAATGTTAAGGGAAAAGGAAGTGCCTTTGTAAATTATCAGAGTATGAATTCTTATCATAATGGAGTATAACTGGTTAATTCTCTTAGTTACTACACCTAATTTATAAAGGTTTTTGCTGGCATAGTGGTAAGGCATATATTTAGCTGGTAACCAGAAGTTTGGTGGTTCAAACGCACCAGCTGGTCCATGGGAGGAAGATGAGGCATTCTACTTCTGTGAAGATTTACAGCCTTGGAAACCCAGTGTGGGTCACTATGAGTCAGAGCCAACCTGATGGCAATGGGTTTGGTTTTGTTTACACCTAACTTACAGTGAAATGATTACCCCTTTCAAAATAATCATATTGGGAAAACAACACTTAGCCCAGCAATGCTGCCATTTCTTCACACTTCTGTGACTCCTTTCAGAGCCTACAACACATCTTTTGTATATCCTTAGAGATGGCAAATTTTGTGTTTTGGGGGTAGGTTGAGTATTGAAAATAATTGTCTATTTATAGTCAATTGTCAAGTTAGAAATATTAATTGCAAGCTATATATGCCCGACAGGTAACAAGACTGATTTTCACATTTGGCAGTGGTTGTATTATTGGAAGACTCATTTGGAAGTATAAGTTCTAGCATATTTTTTTAAAAAAAGATTATTTATAGCCTAAACTTCAGTTTTTCCCACTTACATAATGTCCACTAAAGGTACAACACCACAGAGGAAGAATTATTTATACCCATCAACACTGATGAGAACGGAACCGAGGGAACAGCTCATTGATCAGTTAAAAAGGAAACAGCCTGAGCTTTTAATGATGCTAAACTATTCGGAAAACAACAAAGAGGAGACTAGTGAGGTAAAATTTAAAGCGTCGTAATTTTAGAACTCTCCCATAAACTTCTGATAGCATCAAGTTAATTGTGAAGAATTTTAGTCTTTGCCCTTAGGTCCTCTTTCCTCTTATTAAAAATAGTTGCCTGGCCTGTAAGCCTACTTATTTTAATCTTGTCATTTTTTAAATTATTAAACTAATACATACTAATATTTAATATATATAACATTCTTAGCATGCTGGACACTGTTCTAAGAATTTTACAATCAAGTTTCATAATCAGTGATTTTAACATAGTATTATAGAAAAGTTAGGAAAATAAGAAAGAAAGAAAGAATAATCCCATTGTTCTGAGATTACCAGCTGTAACATTTTAGTATAGCCACTTCTGTATATGAACATATTTGATATTATTTTAATTATTTTGTGGTCTTCTTACTAATTTTGTTGAGGTTTAACAATGGGCAATGTGTTATTATATTCAAAGAAGAAGATCCCTGTATGTTTATGAAGATTTTTAAGCCTTTAGACTTAATCACTCATCCCGCTTCTTATTTTAGAACTTAGATGAAGAAAACGCAGTTGTAGGACACACTACTACTGCTGAAGAAACTCCGAGTCAAGAGCCATGTGTAGATGTAGGTGCTGGTGTGGACTGTTCATCACGTGGTGGGGTTCCATTTTTCCAGGTACCTGATTATGTCATATCATTTAACCCTTCCACATCTGACTTAAGTCAGTCACTTTCTTTTTAATATAAAGCCATTACTTAGTTTAGTAATCTGGTGGAACAATAAAGAAATTTCATTCCTTTGGGGTGATAGCTTGTCAACTTGTCCAACTTAAATTATTTACAAAAATGTTGATATTGATAAAGGGTTTTCTATTGGGTAAATAAAAACATTAGACTTGAATCTCTACCCTCATCTGGTAATCGTTAACTATTACATTAATCTTCCTTTTGCCTCCTTCATATTCAGAATGGATACTGAGAAGGAGTCACCTCTCTTTTTCCTCCATATTTGACATGGAAGTTCAAGTCTATATCTGCCTATAAACTGACTTTGAAGTCTGGGATGTTTTTGAATATTTGTAGACCAAAGGGCTTTCAGGTTACATTAGTGATTTCCCCTGTCTAAGGCGCTTCCCTTTTAACTTTACCTCGTATTTCCTGCTCCGCTCTTATGCAGTTAAATCCTATGATCTGCCCCTTTTCAACACTGCTATGAGCATGGCACTGTACTCTGTGTATCATCTGTTCCTCTATTTTGAGGACATGAGCCTAGACAGTGCCTATAAAGTGAATAAGGCATTGATGTCACTAGTCTCATAAAACTCTCTATGGGAAAATAGGATTCCAATGAAATAAAACTTCCAATTGAGAAGTATGAGATAAGATGTTTTTTAAAGAAGCAAAAACAAAAGTATCTTAAGGAGGTAGCCCATGTATCAGATTCTCTTAAAACAGAACTGCCTATTTTGCATGATAATAGATCTTTTTTTTTTTTCCCCCTAGCACAGGTTTCTTAACAGAGGTACTGTTGACATTTTGAGCCAGATAAGTCTTTGTTGTGGGGGCTATCCTATACCTTATACAATGTTTAGCAGCTTCCTGGTGTCTACCACTAGAAACCAGGAGTACCTCCTAGTTACGCCAACCAAAAATATCTTCAGACATTACCTGGAGGGCATACTCACTTCCTGTTGAAGACTATTGCCCTAGAATAAAATACGTAATTGTGCCTTAGAAAATAATGCAGAAAATTAATATTTCTTTCATCCCACTCCTTCCATTGGTATGAAATAAAGAAGGCATTCACCTCTACTTGCCACACTTTGTGTTGAGCCTTTCATCAAGTTTCCTACCCTTAAATTTCTTGCGTTATAATCCAGAGGACTTTGAAAATAGGGTACAGCCAATGTGTATCAGATGCTAATTTATACTGATTTAATTTCTCCCTTTAAATCCATAGCATAAAAAACCACATGGAAAAGACAAAGAAAACAGAGGCGTTAACCCGGTGGAGCGGCCCAAAGTGGAAGAAGCTACAGAGCAGTCTGTCGCGAGGAGCCGGCTGCCTCTGCGAGCCCAGATAAACCTGTAGTTAACTTGAAGGTTGAGAATTTCATTTTTAAGAGAAATGAAAGATAAAACCTGTAACCCCAGAACCTGTGCCTTATGTATATATTTAAAAAAAGACCAGAAGGCATCAAGACAGTACTGTACATTCAGTTGAAATTAATATGGCTATTCATTTTTCTGTCATCTTTGTAGTTCACTGTGTATTAAGTTGGGTTGAATTTGGGGTTTTGCATTGAATGAATATGCATTTCTAGCCTTTGATGTACAATAGCCCTTTCATAACAAATGAAAAAATATTTTTCTTGTATATTATTAAATAGCATGTTTATAGAAGCTGTACTGTTTTTCTAAATTTGAACTTATACAGGTAAATATCACCAACATTGGACCATCTCTTTTCTTTCCTTGTGATTGAATAATGTCTATGTGTGCTTGCTTCCTTTGCCAGAGTTTCCTATTCTGCTTTCTCATCAGCCCACTTTCTCCTTTTTGTCACCAAACCATTTGTAAAGCTACAAAAAAAAACATGTGTTCTTATTGTAAAACAGCCAGAATTTCACCTAAAAAATATTTTCAGTGGTTATTTCTAACATTACTGTCAACAATAAACATAGTGGAAGTATCCCTTCCTTAATATTTTTGTTTCCTCCTACATGTGAAAGCCTTTCATCCCTTTATGAAACCTAACCCATTAGTCCCAACAGAGTTCACAAAAAGCTAACTTCTCCAGAATATAGATTGCTGTTGTGGGAGTACTGCCTAGAATTCTGATTAATGGTTGTGTGGTCCCATTCTGATGCCTGTACATTTAGGAGAAGGTCATAATTATTTAAAGGTTTTTTGAAACTAATCATTATGACTATAGTTTATATTCTTTTATTACCCGATAAATTTTTTGTTGTTCTTTGTATATAATAAAATATGTGTATGCATATTTTTTTTTCCTATTGAAACCTTAACCCTTAGAAGGGCCCTGACGTATTTTGATCTGGCAGCTAAGTTTCTGAGATGTTTAATCATAAAGAACCAGAGTACTTAAAAGAAATATGAGGGGAGAATACATTTTGTGCCCACATAGACTTTACTGTACAAATTTAGAGACTTGACTTTGATAGTGAAGAAAAAAGCCAAGCCCTGATAGAAAATTAGAAAATGTGCTTCTTTGAGGATCTAAATGATCCTTGCAGAAGTGTTAACTATTTTAATAAAAGTAACAGATATAATATTTCTACAAAATAAGATACCATCATAAGCTATGGATGTTGTTATTGGTAGCTGCTTCTAATTGGCCCCCTGTACAAAGGCATGAAGAAACAGTGCCGGGTCCTGTGCCATCCTCATGATGGGTTGGGTATTGAACTGTTGTGATCTATTGGGTTTTCATTGGCTGATTTTCGCAATAGATTGCAAGGCCATTTTTCCTAATCCATCTTAGTTTAGAAACCTGTTCAGCATCATAGCAACATTCAAGCCTGACAGATGGGTAGTGTCTTTGCATGAGGTGCATTGGCTGGGAATCACATTTGGAACGTGAAAATTCTATCACTGAACCACCAGTGCCTCCTAAACTATGAATAATACCTAATAAACTACCTTTAATAAATCCATGACTAATAAATTTGGTTTATACATTAACTTGCTTGCTTCATAATTTCTTATCTAGCAATAGCTACATTTATAGCATTAAGCAAAATACATTAAATATTCTAAAGTAAACTTGTACACAGGTATCATCAAGGAGGAAGGGTTCTGATAAATGGAGAAAAGATTGACATTGTTAAAGATTTCATATTATTTGGTTCCACAGTCAACACCCATGGAAGCAGCAGTCCAGAAATCAGATGATGTATTGTTGCACTGGGCAAATGTGCTGCCAAAGACCTTTTAAAGTGCTGAAGAGCAAAGATGTCTCTGAAGACTAAGGTGCACCTGACCCAAGCCATGGTATTTTCAGTAGCTTCATATGCATGTGAAAGTTGGACAATGAATAAGGAAGACGGAAGAAGAGTTGATTCTTTTGAGTTATGGTGTTGCTGAAAAATACTAAAAGTACCATGGACTACCAGAAGAACTAACAAATCTGTCTTGAAGGAAGTACTGTTGGAATGCTCCTTAGAATGAAAATGGCCAGACTTCATCTCATCTACTTTGGTCATGCTGTCAAAAGGGACCATTCCCTGGAGAAGGATATCATGCTTGATAAAGTGGAGGGTCAGCAAAAAAAAGGGAAGGCCTTTAATGAGATGGATTGACACAATGGCTGCAACTATGGGCATAGGTATAGCAAGGATTGTCAGGCTGGTACAGGACTGGGCAGTGTTTTGTTCTATTCTACATGGGGTTGCTATGAGTCAGAGCCAACTTGACAGCATGTAGGAACAACAACAGAGCAACTAGGGTTCCAGTAAGATGGTGGAATAGGCAGAAAGACTGCACAGACCCTCTTCAACAAAGAAAAGGGGAACCAATTAACATATACAGAAGATAAGCCTGGAGCCCTGACCTTTGAAGGGAAGGCTATAGAAGTAGACTAAACTCCCAAGTGGTAAAAGAATTTGCTTGAAAACAACAAAAAAGGAAACATACAGAGCTGCAGTGTGGCAGCAATCCTGATGACACCGACAGCTTGGATATTGCTGAATGGTGTTAGGACCTAAGAATTAACCTAAAAATCGGCCCTGCTATCCAGGGGCTGCATGGAGGACTACACTGGTGGCTGGTGAATAAAAGGGGAAGCAGTGGAGGGTGGGCTGAGCTGTGTGTGTGGACTTCTGCCTGTCTGGAGGGTGCAGCCATTTTGAATGTTTACAAGCAATTTGACCATTTTGGATATTTAAAGTGACAGCATTCTCCCAGATTCCTGGGACTTAAGAATAGGCTGCACTTGCCAGGAATTGCCAAGGACATTCCAGATGCCAGCAACTGGAAAAGTGATATATTCCCCTTGTTACTCTCATATGCCACACCCTCTTGGTGAACAGAGGTGCAGCCATCCCTCACTCCCACCCACCTTCTGGGCCAGCAGGAATTCCATCCCAGTCTGTGTGCTTGGATGGAGCTTGGGTGCCCTGCCCCGCCCAGATTCTTTTTTTGTTTTTGTCTGTTTTAAAATTATTACTATTATTGTCCATTTTATTATTATTCTTTATTCTTCCCTTCCCAGGTTCTAGTTTTCAGCTTTTTCTCTCTTCTCTATTCCTGGTTCCAATTTTTTTCTTTCTTGTGGTTAACCCTGTTCCTTGTTTTTCTTTTTGGGTTTTTCACATTTTTTTTTTCTTCATTATTCTCCTACTCTACCTTTTTTCTCTTACTGCCCTCTACCCAGATAGTGTGGGTTTCTTCCCCCCTTTTTTCTTTTTTTGGGTTCTTGTTCCTGTGTGATTACACAGTGTGTTTTTTGTCCACTTGCTTTTACTTTTTTGATGGTTATTCAATTGCTGTTTTGGTCCAACTGAGTGGGAGACAGCAACAGTGCCCATATGACACAACTACACCCATACCTCCTGCAGCTTCACTTAGTGAAAGCCACCACTTCCTTCTCCACCAACTGGCCAACAATAAACCACCACCAAGAAGAGACTGACTCACCCTTAGCTGCTCTTCACAGTTAACAGAGATCTAAATACAACAATGTCACAATGTCTGTCAGACAACAGACCATCACAGTCCACACAAAGAAGCAAGATAAAGTGGTAGAAACAAGGGAGCAGGATACAGACCCAGAAAACATCCCTGAGGAAGAAGCAGCATTGGAACTCCCTGATAAGGAATTCAAAAGA